GGTTGAGTGAATAACAACTCAAGAGCGTGCCTCGAGAATTATTTACTCGGAAATTCAAGGAATGCTAGATTCCAAGAACTTCTTTCTTTCAAAATTTTAATCGAGGAAGATGTTTTGAAAAATAATTTGAAATGAAATGGGGTATGAAAATAATTTGTGAATGTATGAGGTAAGGATATGAATTTGAATTTGAAAATGAATTTGAATTTTGAAAATGATTTAGGAGAAGTGATAATTATTTGATAAATGAGACGTCAGCCTCACAACCAAATAATCGGAATATTATCGAGATGCTAGATCTCGACAACACCATTTTTATTTGAAAAATGTTTGGATGAACAACGGAAATATCACACAGAATGCTAGATTCCTATGATATTTCTTTGTCCAAAATAGCGTACTAAACGAATAGTAGAACGACATATTATTTAAGGTGTACACCCCCCAATAATGTTCGTCCAAAAATCCAAAAAGTGCTAGACTTAAAAGATTTAATTTGCTTTTAAAAAAATACTCAAGGTGAGTCGAGGTTGATGGCGAGGCTTTTAAAGCACTCGACTTACATGGGTAAAAATGACTCGATAAATCGAGAGTTTATTTTGAAAATTTTTTTTGAGTTATTAAGGCATAATGAAGAGAAAAAGAAAGCTATAAGAAGCTATTACATTTGAAGGGAGTTGGGACATATTATATCAAATGAGAATAAAATAACCAAAATGTAAGCATGCACAAATAACATTGACTTAAGATTTTTCGATTTCTTTTTCTTTCTTGAAGTGTTTCGTAAAAAAAACTTGTCACATTGTCATGGTACCTTCATTTCCTGCATGTTACCTAGGATTGATCCTTCTGCTTTTGATTTTGAGAAGTGTTCAATGTTTGGAATGGAGGATACGTATGAACTTCTAGTCAAAGGATTTGTATTGACACAGAATTCATTGCCGATTGTCTTCGCAACTTTAAAATTTCCTTGCACCATTTACGTACTCACAGATGAAAGTATTAGCAATTCTTGATATAAATAAGGAATATAATATCAAAAGGAAACCTTAAATATCTTGGTAGTTAACACTCAGCAATTGGCTTGATTCCATCGAACTTAGCAAATATTTATTATCATCATTGGAAACAACTTTAAACTAATAGTCCTACTGTTAGTAAACCCATAGGTAAACATTCAAGTTTGTTAATGTATTAAATCCTGTACAAAAATTCATGGAGCAGCTTACTTCCAACGAAACTATGCAAATTTAACTGCAACGCTACGAATATTTCGGTTAACATCGCAGAATAGTGACAACCCAGAGAATCAAATTACCGTAAGCTTAAAATTAAACAAAGCACAAAAATATGACTTTTACAAAGGACATAAACTTATTTAAACACTAACTCCCAGTTAAGCAACACGAGGTTTAAAACAGAACCGAATTCGACAAAGTATTTCGACACAAAAGATAGGCAAAGGTAGTGCAACCTTCCCACAACTCTTGTATACAAAAAAAAAATTCAAGGCAAATCTGACGAAAACAAACTATTATCCCAAAAAAACACGTATACAGCCATATCTTACACATAGCAGAATATCTTTTAGAAAAACGAAATTGAACTAATTCCTAAACCAAATAGAACACATTCAATCTGAAACAAAGTTATCAAAGCACAACAAGAAGTATGTTACCGAGACGCCGAATGCCTTGCCGTTGGAACCGTTACAAAGAAACCCAAGCTTACGTTATTGATGTGTTGTTGCAGAGTCATTGCCGCGAGCTAAAGAGCTGTTGAGCTGGTGGCTATTGCATCGAGTTACATCAAGTCAAAGTGTTGTTGGCATCGTCATTGTCGCTACATCTCCGTTACTTGGAGCTCGCTGGGAGGTTGATAAGGTCTGGGCAAAATGACAAACCCGGACAGGTGACGACATCCATGAGCCGTGATGTGCACGAGTGATTGAATGGCTTTGATGATTTATCGAGACCACAACGGTTGCTACTCCTGTCAAGCTTCTTTTTCAGACTTCATCCAGTGTTTCAGTTCCTGAAGTGCTTCATTACACGAAGGTTTCGCTGTTGTTGTCGAATATTGTCATTGTGACGTTGTCGAGTTCGTGAAACTTGCAATTTGCGCTTGACGTTGCTTTCTTCCAAGTTATCAATGCTTCCGGCAATGTTAGTGTTGCGGCTACCGTCAAACCAAAATCGTGCACTCAAAAAATGGTATAACCAAATCCACATATTATTCAATTTAAGTCTGTGGCAGCAGCACGCAGAGTAATGGCAACATCAACAGCTAGCGCATAGTCGTTGTCGGCGTCGTATCAGGTGACCTTTCAACTGCAAACATATGAGACGAACTGACATCGTGATTCAAAATTAGCTCGACTTTACAGTCGCTTCTGCCACACTCAAACCTGCGATGGATAGAAACACAACCCAAACAAGAATAGGAAACCATCACAGAAATTGAAAAATGAAAAAGAAAAACTAAGCATATACATAACCCATTCATTCTTCTTGATTCTTGCTGCTATCTTCATAAACTTATCGTAATTTGACCCGCACATAACCGAAACCTGCATAATTCGTATAAGTCACAAACCGTTGTCACCGACTCGCCGCAGTTGTGGCAAAGTTGTTGTTGAATCAGAGTTGCTTGTTGAAAGATGATGCAAGCCATTACTGGTTGGAACCTTCTTGATTCCATGAAGTTGTTATGCTGCTACCTGCTCATCAACCTAACTTTCTATCTTCAGATGGGAAAAATCACAAAAAACGTCAAAACCGGAAACCAAAAACATAATCAAACCAGATTCGAAGTTATATAACCAAACACATATAATCCAACAGTTACCCAATGATATACAAAGTGTGAAAGCAAGGTAAGCAGCTTCAAATTGAAAAGTGTAAACAGAATGATACCGACACAAATTTGTGACAACTGAGTTGTTTTCTTTTAACATCGCTACAAGTCATGAGCGAAATTGCTATGGCTCCAAAACTGTCATTCTTGAACTTCGATGCGCAATCGTTCAGAGATCGTGTTACTACAAACTGAAACAGATTTAAAACTTAAACGCAATAGATTCCCATCTCGCATCTGATTCGAAACCTGCATATGAAATTAACAACAGATGGTCAGGTCATTCATAAATTGTTGTTGTAGTATCGTTGTCGCCGAGTCATTGTCGCGAACTGAAGAGCTGTTGAGCTTAAAATCGGTGGTTATTGTGTCGAGTTGATACGAAATCACGCCAAAGTGTTGTTGACACCATTATTCACTCATCATTGACAGAACTCGATCAGAACAAGGTTGTTGATATTGAAGGAACGCCCCTGAAATTGTTGGCTTTAGTGATGTTCTTGCGTGCGCGGCTTTTCGACGAAACACTTATGGAGGTTATCGACCGGAGCTTCGGTTTTACAGTGAAGAAGAAAAAAACGGTGATGGTAGCGTGATGGGTCTGTATCGCGGTAGAAGAAGGGTTTATGAGCGGATAGAGAGGGTTTATATCGAGGGAAAAGAAGGGTTTGTGAGCGGATAGAGAGGGTTTATATCGAGGGAAAAGAAGGGTTTGTGAGCGGATAGAGAGGGTTTCGGTGGGTGGCTGCGGCCGTTTAGGGTTTTTTAGGGTTCAGAAATGAAGGTGGCGGCCTTTCTGAAGAAGGAGGATGAACAGTGATTTTTTTCTTTTTTCTTTCAATCGGTCTTTCTTCTTTTAAAAGCACACCCAAAGCCAACTGTCATACCCCAAATTTGTCCTACCTTTTTTCAAAATTCTCATTTGCCCGACTTTGTTTTTAATTTACCTCGCTTATACAGCGTGGCGTATTTTTCAGCAAAAACAGGCATTTTGCTTTTTTAACCCAATAAGAGTATGCCACGTGGCATTTGTTTTTTTTATATATATACCTATTTTTTTTTATATAATTTCATTTTTCTCGTGATAGGTTAATATATTGTCTTTTTATTATTTTAATTAGTTTTGAATTAGAAATTAGGATTTGAATTTAATTGTTTTAATTAAATAGATTTAATTTAGAGCTTAATTATAATTTAGAAATTTAAAAAATATAGAAAAAAATAGAGTTAGAATTTAATTAGGATTTATTTTAAAATTTTTATTAGAGTTTAATTAATTAGTTTAGATTTAAATTATAATTAATAGTTAGAATTAATTAAATAGGAAATAAGTTTTTTAATTTAGTTTAGAATTAAAAGAAAATATTAAAAAAAAAGAAAAAATCTGAATGAGAGGACACGTTGGAATTAGGTTTAGTTTTGGGGATAAATAGGACTACTGCTCACCATACCCTAGAGAATTAAGAGATACTGTTCACAACCCTAAAAAGATAACGGTCGCCCCTAATTCTGAAGGGCAACCCTAAAAGAAACCATCCCCAATTCATCCCCAAAACCCTAAATCACTGCTAAACCCCATTTCTTCAACGGCAAGGCCATGACCTTATCCACGGCGATATCTCCATCCCTCACAGACTCCAAGAAGAAGAAGAACCGCAACAAAAATGGAGCAGAAGAGGACGAATCAACGGAGCAACAAACCCAACCAGACTTCATGATCAAACCAGGCTCACGGGCATCGTTAATCGACACTTCAGAGTGGTCGATACTCCTCAAGAACTACGACCGCCTTAACATCCGAACCGGTCACTACACTCCTCTTCCCGCCGGTCACTCTCCGCTGAAGCGGCCACTCATCGATTATCTCGAATACGGTGTCCTCAACCTTGATAATCCAGCTAATCCTTCTTCTCACGAAGTTGTTGCATGGATCAAGCAGATTCTCCGTGTCGAAAAAACCGGTTACAGTGGTACTCTCGATCCCAAAGTTACAGGTAATTTGATTGTTTGCATTGACGGAGCAACGAGGCTTGTTAAATCTCAACAAGGTGCTGGAAAAGAGTATGTTTGTATTGCGAGACTCAGTTGTGTTGTAATAAGGAAACGAGAGAAGATACCGATAGAGAGAGTGAAGTGTGAGAGCGATGTTTTTGAAGGATAACAATACTAACGGCTACCACCATCAACCACCACCTCCACCATCGGAAATGGTGCATAATCACATCAACAGAGACAGAGCCCGTCGTGTCAGTCGCTGCTCACGTGTTTCCACCTCTAATTCCCTTGTTAGGGTTTCCGATACCGTACAACCTCAACACCTACAACAGTCTAATCGATCTCCTTGCACAGATTACGATATGGCGTATTTTCATTCCTATGCTCACCTCGGTATTCATCAAGAGATGATCAAGGATCGTGTGCGGACGGATACTTATAGGGAAGCAATCATGCGGCATCAGAGTCTTATCGCTGGCAAAGTTGTAGTTGATGTTGGGTGCGGTACAGGAATCCTTTCTATATTTTGTGCTCAGGCTGGTGCAAAGCGGGTGTATGCAGTTGATGCCAGTGACATTGCTCTGCAGGCAAATGAAGTTGTTAAAGCAAATAACCTTTCTGATGTTGTCATTGTATTGCATGGACGAGTTGAGGATGTTGAAATTGATGAAGAGGTGGATGTTATAATTTCAGAATGGATGGGCTATATGCTTCTATATGAGAGCATGCTTGGGAGCGTTATTACTGCCAGAGATCACTGGCTCAAACCTGGTGGTCTTATTCTTCCTTCGAGTGCATCGTTGTACATAGCTCCTGTCACACATACGGACAGATACAGTGACAGCGTCGACTTTTGGCGCAATGTTTATGGAATTGACATGTCTGCCATTGTATCATTAGAAAAACAATGTGACGTATAATTCAATAATCGACGGATATGGTAAGGCTGACATGTTTGAGAAGATGGAGAATTCATTGACAGATATGATTGAAAATGAAAATTGTCAACCCGATGTTTTCACGCTGAATTCTTTTATAGGATCATATGGAAATGGTGGGAAAATTGATGAGATGCAGCAAATGGTTTTTCTTCAACTATGACGGCTCGTATTGCGGTAATGGTATCAAGCTTGTGCATATTTACTACATGACTATTTGCAGTTCTAATTTGGCTCTGATTTAAATGCGATTACGAGTAAACTCGCTTCCCTATTTCATTATGTTAATATGTACTTGATTTAATAGCAATTGTGTTCATGGTTTCGAGACAAATCATGCCGAAGCGTCCTGCTGGATTTTATTATTTGAGAATTGTTGCTTTCAATTTTTAATTTCAAAAACTGGTGAGATTAAGCAAAACTCAGTGGCTAAGACAAACAAAGGTTGCGACATCGCCGGTAATTTGTTGAAGCTGCCAAAGCCATCATTAAGTGCCAGGACAACAGAGATTACAACGAGTGACCTGAAGAAGTGTGTAGCAACAACCAGTTGGAACCGGAAACATTTTGATTTTGCAGCAGAGCTCGATGCCAATGTCGTAACAGCAACTCCGTAGCACGGAACGATACAAGCATTACAGCAAAGTTTCGGTTGTGCTTCCAACGAGAACTCCTTATTACAACAACCACAGTCGGGTAACACTATCTTAGACTTGTTAATAGGGATGAATACACTGTTATGGCATTTTCCCAACTTGAATCCTTTGTTGTTTTGTGAAATTTTGATTATATTCCTGGCTGCTAAAAATCCTGCACCCATGTAAATGTTATTGAATCATTGCTGGTGTACCTCACAGTTTGAATCCAGTATAGTTGTTACATTGCGGCAGCATTTTGCTTCGAAAGTTCTGTTGCAAGCAGTAATAGTATTGTGCTGAGTATCATTTTAAGCCGGTTCCAGTGATTGAAAATAGTGCGTTGCTTGTGTTGAATTTACGTTGAATGTTGTTAGCGGAGATTCTGAGTTCGAAGTTTTCGAAAGTCTCAATTCATTTTTTTGACAAGGATCTCCTTCTGTTTCGCGGCGACACCGCGATGTTGCCTGCTGCGGCGACCGGAGAACGTCCTGACTGTTTTGCTTCCAGCTCAACAACAACAACAAAACGGCGTCGGCATTCTCGGCTTCGGCTAGGTAAACGTATCAACTAGTTTCTCTTATTTGTCGGATTGGGTAATTATTTGTGATTGTTGTTCAATTAAAGGTTTTCTATTTTTCATTGGTGATATGGTTTGGACGTTCACGCTGTTGTTTTAATCCTTGGTGTTCTTCGATGTTGGATTGCGAAAGTTGTTATCATTTGAACTAATATACTAAGCCACTGATGTTAAATGCCAAAGTTATTTGTTTTATGTTGTTCAATGTTTTGATGTATTGCAAAATTATCCCATTGTGAATCATGATTAATGTTTGGATTAAAATTCACAAGAGTTTTTTATTGTTCCCTGTAGATTTGTTCCGATTTTCGCGGCTGTTACTGTTTTGTCTTGACAGTTAGATTAATTGATTCTTCTTGAACAAATTGCAACATTGTCCAATGTGTTGGTTTATTTTTATGGTTTGTAAATAATTTATAAATAGCAGAAATAATGGTATAATGAGGTTGATAAAAAAATGTTTTTTTTTTATTTTTCGATGGATCATAAGTTACAGTATTTATAAAAACATTATGTTGAGAGCCTACTTTACAAAATACTTTCCTTTAGCTATTTTTTTTTTTAAAAAAATTATTATTATTATTAATAGGTTGATTAAATATTTAATTTTGTATAAAATAAGTAATTTTGACTTTATTTTTTATGTTAGTTAGTTAATTAGATTAAGATATGTTAATATACTTAATTAAGTTTTTTTTTCATTCAAATTAATTTCTTATTCCTATTCTTTTCGATTAAACAACGTAGATATTGGGCTCTTGGGGTCTAGCATCCCTTGAGTCCTTGAACAACTATTCTCGAGGTGCACGCCTTTGAGTTACGGTCGTTCCTTTTTTTCGATTTTCAAAAATGTTCACTCAATTCAATTAAAGCTTCTAAGAGTTTTTTTTAAATTAATTTTATTAATTAGATATTTTTATAATAAGGTCCAATTATTATTCTTTTAAAAGATATATATTTCAAAATTACTATCAAATAATATTTTGAATATTAGAAAATTATATTTCATTAAGTTAAAATCTTCTTTAAGATGTTAAACTTTTTTTTAAAACAATTAATTATGGTTAATTTTTCTCAAATCAAAACTTTTCATAATTGATTAATTAATTTTATATATGAAAATTAAAACTATTTTCTTGATTAAATTAAACTATTTTTGTTAATCAAATTTCAAAACAATTAAATTCTTGGATCTCGCCTTCCTTGAATTTTTTAAGCGACCGCTCTCGAGGTGCACACCTTGAGTTGTGACCCTTCCGATCTTATTTTCAAGAATACATAGCGCGCCTAGTCTGAGTATGCTAAACTATTCAAATTATTTTCTAAACCAAATCACAAAAGAATTGAGTTCTTGGAGTCGCGAATTCCTCGAATTTGAGAGTGACTACTATTGAGGCGTACGCCTTGAATGGTGTGTCGTTCGAACTTTCGTTTCTAAAATATTTCCATAATTATTTGGACAAGTATTCACTGTCCAACAAACATTATTTCATAATTAATGGGATGAAAAAGATTGTCGTTGGGATCTAGCATTCCAACGACATCCCGACTAATTGGTTGTGAGGCCGACGTCTTGCTTATCAAATAGTCGTCATTCCTCTTAAACATACAACCTCTCTAACCTCGTTCCTTATCCTCGTGCGATCGAGTATAAACCCTCGTATGCTTCTAAACCATACGTCAAGTCCAAACTATTTTCTTAACTAAACTACGAAAGAATTGAGTTCTTGGAGTCTCACACTCCTTGAATTCTTGAGTAACTACTCTTGGGGCGTACGCTTTAGGTTGTGGTTCGCCCAACCTTTCGTATATAAAATACATGCCCTAACTACTTGGACCAATGTCGTTATTGTCCATTCAAATACATTTTCATAATTAATTGAATGAAAAAAGGTATCATTGGGATCTAGCATTCCAATGATATCCCGATTAATTGATTGCGAGGCTGACGACTCGTTTATCGAATAATCGTCATTCTCCATCAAATAACCTAACCAAACTCCTCTTTCTCGCCCCCGTGCGATCAAAACCTTAAACATATTCAAATCCATTCTCTTTCCCAAACCAAAAACATCCAATGCGATAAACACTAAATTCCTCGCCCTCGTGCGATCTCCAACCTAAATACCTTTTACCAAGAACATTGTTTAATTCCTTCTTCCGCGCATATGAACTCGTGCTTCAGCCTCCCCTAGCGAGCAGACAAGCCAATGTTTAACAGTTAGAATGCGACCTAAACACTCGTTCAAATCCAAACCCTTTTACCGTAGTTAGCCGAACTACGGCTGCTCTGATTTCTCACACCCGTTGAGAATACGTAGGCATAGGATTGCGATGATCCTAGTGAGCACTTTTCCACTTTTCCTTCTTTCCCACCTTTAGGTTCCCATACCTTTTACCAAGAACATTGTTTAGTCCCTTCTTCCGCGCATAACAAACTCGTGCTTCAGCCTCCCCTAGCGAGCAGACAAGCCAACGTTTAGCAGTTAGAATGCGACTTAAACTCTCGTTCGATTCAATACACCTTTTCTCTAAGAACATTGTTTAGCCCCTTCTTCCGCGCATAACAAACTCGTGCTTCAGCCTCCCCTAGCGAGCAGACAAGCCAACGTTTAACAGTTAGAATGCGACCTAAACACTCGTTCAAGTTTCAAACCCTTTTACCGTAGTTAGCCGAACTACGGCTGCTCTGATCTCTCATATCTGTTGAGAGTACGTAGGCATAGGATTGCGATAATCCTAGCGAGCACATTCCCCTCCTTTTACCCGTAGTCCCACGAACTACGAATGCTCTGATTTTCCACTTCTTACAAGTGAAGATACGTAGGCACAAGGGCCCCAATCCTTGGCGAGCACCCTATCTTATAACCATCCATCCCCCTATAGGAGAAACCTTAGAAGATAACAAACAAGCATAGTTAACTTTACTCTCGAATCGATCAAGAGGTTCCCGTTGAGTACAACGGACGTAGAGGGTGCTAATACCTTCCCTCTGCGTAACCGACTCCCGAACCTAGAATATTGGTTGCGATGACCATGTTCTTATCCCTTAAAGGTTTTATCGATATTTTCCTATTCCATCCTTAGAATGAATAAAGTTCGGTGGCGACTCTGTTTCGAACAGTATTTTCCGCGGCCATCGCGAGGATCGTATTTTTCGAGGTACGACAGATGGCGACTCTGCTGGGGACTCGCATTGCCCTATGCAAGAGAGAGTCAAGCCTAACTTGACTCGATTTGAGAGTGCTAACCTTTTGCTTAACTGTTTTCTTTATGTGTATTTTCTCCTGTTGTTTATTTATTGCTTTCTCTTTCTATTATATGTTGTTTATTATATCTGCCTGCTGGATTCGGGGATAATATCACAAGTAAAGCTCTACACCCGAGCTTTGAAAAAAGAAGAGAGAAAACATATTTTAGAATTGGTAGTAATTAGTGTTAGTCCCCAAGGACTCGCTCCTTGTGTGCCTAGCATGAGAGCTCCTCTAGAATAGACCTTTTCGTAGATCCTATCGTAACGCAGCTAGCCTGTTACACGATTTGATTCATGAAGGGTCCGTGACTCTGGGAACCACTCGTAGAACCAGTTTCTATATTGGTAGTCGTGTAATGTTAATCTCCGAGGACCCGCTCCTCGTGTGCCTAGCGTGAGGACTCCACTCAGGAGAGACCCTATCGTACTCTCGTTATAATACAACTAGCCTGTTGCGTAATGTTGATGCGATCGGTGTCCGGGATCTTGGGAACCTTATCCATCAACATAGAAG